GAAAAAGTACCAATTCTGTATGTTACCCATTTAAACATGGAATTTTCCTTTAATGACGGTATAAAAAATCCACACAAACTACTGGAGATGCCGGCTCATGTTTCATGATGCCTCTTTACGTCTTATTCAGCTTTCATGGGTTTCCCGGGGCCATAACCAGAAACCCCCCTGACGTTGATCGCCCCTTTAAAATGCTCCATCACAGAAATTATGAAAAATGTGGGTTGTTAAAGTTATAAATGTGGACACTTTACAAAGAAACATTCTTGTGTTACACAAGACTTCAAGCTCAGATGCATCCAGTGTACTGTAATTTTGGTTCACAGCAGACGTGTAGACTCATATATTTGTCCATCGGCAGCAGCACCAAATTACAGGTCTCCCGTTTCTTGTGACTGTTTGGAGTATTTTATGGCATAGTCTTTTAATGAGGGCTGAGAACTGCTGTCCTCTAAAATATTATTTTCTAGTGAGTCAGCATGGGTTCTTCCAGTCCCTCCTAATGGTTCCTTGATGACAGAATCAATGGTTGCAATTCAATAATCCTCAGTTATTTCTGTAGCCCACAACCAAAGAGTGTTTCCAGTAAATTGAAACACCATATTTCACATGTCCTTCAGTGAACAACACACATACTCATCTTTTACATATAAACATGGCATCCCTATTGTCAGGATAAATAATAACAAAAAGGCTTGAAGTTTATTCACCAAACAGAGAACAGACTGCCATGTGGCGGCTTTTTCACTGCTTATTTCTGGGAAAACTTTTCAAGGCTGATTTCTGTCAAATATTTGGTTTTAGCATCGTGCCTTCTGTGCAATTCTTGGTGGTAGCAGTCAAAACTGTGATCTTTAGTCCTGTTGATGAATGTGGGATTTCGTAGGTGGCTCTATTTTGTTTGTGCGATCAGTCTTAGTGACTGTTGCTGTTTATTAACACAGGACATCCTGCACAGCTTATTTCCTGGGAAGAAGTTACAGCGGTTGTTTAGGACACCGGAGGTAATGTTTGAATCACAGTGGCTACCGGTTGAAAAGAACCGCACCGTGTAGCACAAGTATTACCAACACCCTGCCTTGATTTATATCTGACTTTGTGTAAAAAAAAGAAGTCATATTCCTCCTTTATACACAGCAGGATAATGCAAAGAGTATTCCCATATAATGGTCTCTATGTGAGCAAGGGAAGCTGAGCTCTACTGCACTGTCTGTTTAATTGAATTTCCAGCAATGCACTAAGCAGAAAAACGCTGGCTGTAAAATAGCATTCTAGGCAGAGAAGAGCCCATGTGGATTTCTCACTTGGTCTCTCAGATTCGCTGCTAATCTACTTGGCTTTAACGTCCTCCTCGTGTCTCTTTCTCTCTCTCATCATTGTTCCTCTTTTTCCTTTTCCACATAATTTCCTGCATAATTCCCAACACCCCTTTTCCCTTTCAAAACTCCTCCATCTGGTCTTTTTTTTGCAAAACAATCCTATACTTCTAACTCCATTTTTGAAATGTTTCCTTTATTCTGCTTGAACCCCTCTTTTTCTATCTTCCCTCCTCTTCACCAGCACTTCATTTCAGCTCCGTGCACTGGAGCCAAAGGTGCATGCCTATCTCGCAGACATGCCTTCCCCTCCTCCTGTCCCAGCAGCAGTTCATACTGTAATTATTCAGCAAAAATACTGCAGAAAGGTCACATTCCAGCAGCTAGCCTTGTCCAGCCTCTTGTTATATGACCCTGTGTCCAACTGTTATGTTGTCAGTATGAATGGAACATTAAGGAGGACTGATGGAGAGCATGGCTGTATCTGTTGGCTTAGCTGAGGTTATAATTTAGAGGGAATAATTTCAAGGCATGTAAGGTTAGTTAGGAAGGTTTTAAATATCTATGTTGACATAATTCAGAAGTCAGGAAAATCTTGTATTTTACTTTCATGTACCGTTACATTAGACTTTTGAAAAAGTTACTGAATTTGATTGGATGTTGTTGAGAAAAATGCTTTTGTGTTGTACTCAAACACGGACACCAAGCCATTGACCAAATTAATTTGACCCTCCTTAAGCCCACACTGTAAAATATGGAAGTATTTTAACCGTAGTTTTTAGTTTACAGTTGTTTGACAGATTTATTTTCCTTTTCTAAAAATTTAAATTATCGATAAGTGTAACTTTTTTATTTAATATATTTTTTTATTTGACATTATTTTCATTATTATTGTTTTTTTTGTTTTTTAAGCTTACAGAATTTTACAGTTTTGTTTTTTTAAATCATTTTTTCAGGCACCTTTGCTGCTAGATTTTTCAATTTAGTTGCACTTTATTATTATTATTATTTTTTTACAGTGCAAACATCACATGCACACAAGCATGACTCAATCCCACATTGCATCAATTGAAATCATAGTCAAGATCCCATTTTCCACTTCAGTGCAGCCATAAAAAATGACATTTAAGATATGAAGACATGAGTCACCATAAATGTGATAGATCTTCAGTGATAAAGACACAACATGAAGGAAAGCAACAGCAAATACTAAACTCTGTGCTGCACGTCTGTCTGAAGCCCCATGCTTTCTTATTAATCACATTTAATTACCTCCCACATTCTCTAATGTGTTGAGCAGTTTCGGCTACTTCAGGGGGAAATTTAAGCTGAATACGGGAACATTAGGATGCAAGTGGTTAAGTGTGGGAGTGCCCCTTTCTTGTGCTCCTGCAGCTGTAGAGGAGCTCCTGCTACTTTATACATCCTTAAATAAATTTACAATCCCAATGTGGACAAACCACTTAACGCTCAAGCGCTCAGCCTGATATATGGACGGATGGTTCCGACTTTGGGCTTGTGAGGTTGGAGGGGGGTTGTTGCGTGCCAGTGCTGTACTATGAAACATAAATACAGTCCAGAAGAAGAAAAATCTCTGTGAATACTGTGTTATCTGGCAGATTTAATTTATCCAGGAGTGATTCTTACTCACACTGCATCTGTGAGTCAACTTCACGCTCCAAGTCATTACAGGAGAGTAAGACAGAGAGAGAAATTGAGAGAGACTCTGCTGCCCTAAAAGGAGAGAGCTGAAGCACCAGTTGGCAGTTGTCACTTGTAACTGAGGCCTGAAACCACACAGTGCTCTTCATGTGAGAGGACGGGATTCAGAGGTTGCCAGATTCACTCTGCACTTTCCAGTACTTTGGCAATCCGAGTAACCATCTAATAGAAATGCGGGAAGCAACTGACATTTCAGTTTTTCCTTGCTTAGCCCCTCATCCCACCTCTACCCCCCTCTGTCATTAACTGTTTAGATGGATGACTTCTATTCCGCTATGTTGACAGAAACACGCTGCTCCCGTCCTCCGCTCGGGGTCACATCATACATCCTCACATACTAAAATGGCGCACGAGTCTGAAGGGGCGGAAGATCATTTTCCAGCTCATGAACTGGTAAAAGAGGACAACATCGACACAGCGTCGGCCTGTGAAGTCCATTTGAAAAGGTCACTGTCTGACTCACTGTATGTACAAGGCTCATTGATTTTGACGGTGCTCTGTAGGAGCGCCGAATAGATCATTTAGACTGCCGTAAAGCTGTCATCTGTCGCTATGACTCGACTGTGCCAGGCTGAACAGACCCACCAGAAATAGAAACAATATGTGGTCCTGGACAAGAGGCAGTAAATGACCTTAGTCATAGAAAATAAAAAACCTGTCAAGTCTTTCAACTCAATTCACTTAATGAGCCTCAGAGCAAAAACCATGAGCGGCCTCTGCTGAGGGTCAGAGCGGTGATGACTGATTAGAAAATGACTAATGCTCAACATTTCCTGATATCCACTTATTCCAAATGTTATAATTCCCATAAGGTCATCGTCCATGGAAAGTGTTCTGAATGTGCAGCGTGTCACATATTCTGAGCCTTAACAAGCGACCAACTGGAGTGTTGGTCAGTGCCTTCCACCGTGCTCCGCATATGATTGATCCTCATGATTATGACAGCTGACAAAGATGGCTAATATCCGTGTTTTCTGATCTGCCATGTCTGTGATTTAAGTTAAGCAACCAAAACTACTTGGTCAGGGCTTTGGAAAGATTCTAGTCGTGGTTACACTCAGCTATTAATTCTGTCTTTCTTCTTGAGTGTGTGTGTTCAGACAGAAAGCAGCTTCCTGAGGCTAAGTACTCTTCTGGTTTCTGTACTCCATTTGTTTTTTTTTTTCAATTTTAGATTAAACAACTCATCAATTAATCAACTAATAAACTTAAAGATTAACCCTCTGAACCCCAAAAAGTTTCAAGGCCTTTCTCTGCTCCTGTCACACTTTTACTAATTTTTCACAATGATATAAAGTCCTATACTTTTATAGAAACTGCACAATCATAGCTAGAAGTAAAGAGAATCCAAAACTTTTTTCAGCCTTGAGTAACAAAGCTCTATTGTCAGAAATCGTAGGAAAGGCAAAAGTAGAATTTCTTTGATTATTTATCTTACAAAAATTGGAAAAAACAACTACAATGAATATGTAATTGTCCAAGTGTCCAGATGTGTTACAAATGCTGAGAAAAAAATGGTTACTCTACATAAATTTTAAATTTGCAGGCTTACATTATTAATTTGTTTCTTCTTCTTGTCTCCTATCTACTCTGTGTAAACACAGCCTCCAATTCAGCTGAAAATTTCCAGATTTTTTGTCACCTGACTATAGGTTGCAGTAGAATCAGTCATAATTTATCGTTTGTGCCAAGAAACAAGTCATTTTTCCTGATGGAACCACATAACACTGTTGATATGTTCAAGGACTGTCGGAAAGCTGAAAATTGCAATTTTTTTTCTATTTCTAAAGTGTCTAGCTCAGATAAATTGTGCAATTTTAGTGATAATTTGAGTTTTGCAGTTCGGAGGGTTAATCAGCAATGAAAATAATCATTAGTTGCAGCCCTGCTTAGCAGGAAAATGTAAAGGTCAGTTAAATGGTTTGATTGCATGAGCTATCATTTTGTCTCAGGTTTCCATACCTGGTGATGCTGAGTGCGAGCTGCTGGCTGCAGTTTTTGATCCTGTTCTGAGCCTCCATGTGTGTCATGAGCTCGGTGCTGTCACCGTTGATAGCCAGGATGGTGTCGCCTGGACACAGGTCACCTTGGGCGGCCTTGCTGCCAGGTGTTACCTAAAGATAACATTCACACACACACATACCAATCCAAGCACACCCAAGAAAAGAAAAGAAAGAGCTGTTATAAGTGGTGTCAAACTGTCTGTGAGGAAAAAAGACAAAAAGAAGGAAAAGCAAAAGAGTACTCGGCGTGGGAGTGTCAACACAGAGGCCAAATTCAACAAAAGCACCTCTCTTTTGATTTATGCGATATTGCCTTAGGCAGCGCTCTAGGTTTACGCTTTCAAAAGCCAGCAACAATGACACTGGGAAGTGAGAGGCCACTCAGCTTTGGAGGTGGTGAAATATCTAGAAAGAACAAAACATTACTGTATGCCTGGCCTAAGAAAGTCACTAAAAAACTAACCATATGCAATTTTATGATCGCTCAGCAATTGCATCATTCTAAACTCCTACAGAATGAGGTCAAATCCACGAACGAGCTACTTTGAACCGAGCTTGCATATAAACCTTGAACATTCACTATATCTGTGTAATGTTTGCTTCATTTGCAAGCATCTGCTCAATAAATATATTTTTTTGATTAGTCCCTTGTTTTTTTTTTTGTTTTTGGTCTTGTAAAACATAAGTCCACATCGCTTTAATTTAGAAGATCTTTTGAGTGGTTAGACTGAGCAGCTCCCTCTCTGTGATCTTTCATTTCTGAGACACTGTGGACATTTGAGCCCCTGAGGGAGGCAGAGGGGTGAGGTGGTGAGGAGTAAAAGGGGGGAGGGCGAGTGTCCCAGTGGGTATGTTTCACCTTCACATACATACCAAGCAACATATGATATCGATTTTCCATTATTACGCACACACGTCCCCGATGTCCCTACTATTTCCAGGCCTGCCTCTGACTGATCTTATGGTTTTGGCTGATGTAAAGAAGAAGAAACTGCCAATTATTTTCGTTCACAGTGAAACAGTCAGTGTCATATGGGAAGCTACAGAGCAAAATATTCTTTGATAGCAATGAAACAAAAAATGTGAGCTGTCATCATGTCTTCGGTCTTCTTTGTGAGCTCTGTGCAGTGTCAAGTAATGACATTTATGACTATTAGTTGTCCGGATTTTTCCATCCATTAAATGTGAAGAGATTTTCAGCAGCTGGACGCGAGTTGTTTTTTTTTTTTTCAAGGGAAATACTGAGCAATAATCTCCGGCACTTTCGTATTAGTCAAAGAGCAGGAGTTGCTTCTTTCCGCTGCAGATTAGTGACGTATTATTTAGCTCCCAGTCTAAACAAATGGTCTCAACCGAGGTCTTTAACTCTAAATTTCCACAAACAGAAGCATGACCAGTGATAGTGAGTAAATGCAAGTATAAAGAAAAGAGCACCGCATTCTAGGACAGAAATACATACTTCCATTATTGATTACTTCTCTACTAACTGCTCAGCCAATAAAATGATAGTGAATCATGAAAAAAATGCCCACAACCCAAAGCAACATCTTCAAATTGCTTGTTCTATCTAACTAGAGGTCCAAACTCAAAAGACACTCCATTTTCAATCAATTAAATATACAACAGCTGAATTAAATTGCCTCAATTTAAAGCTTGACACTAGAACATGTTTGCTGTTTTTGCGTATTTTCTGTTAATAAATGTATAAATTATTGTCAGGTTTAAGAAACAAAGAAAAAAGACCAGTGTTTTTTTTTAATTTTTAACAAATCTGAACCAGGTAGGTTTAGATTTCAGCACTTTGTTGCATGTCTAGGACTTAAAAGGCTAAAATGACTACTTGTATCTATAAATACAAAGGAACAGGTGATTTAGGATGATTTTAAAGTTAATTATCCCTTGTGTGTCAAGCGCCTGTGATTAATCTTTGTCCTATCATCCAAGTTTTGACTTGTACCACTTTCGAGCCACCCACTACCTCACCCCACACCGTCTTATAAAGCCTACTGCCCCCACAACTTGGCATATTAACTTATATTGCATTTAGGACAGTAAAGTCTGACTTTATGCACATGTATTAGTAATGTAATTCTAGCTAAATTAGGACATAATTGGTTTAAAGTTTGGAACCCAAAGAGAGAAGAGAGAGAAGCTGCTCGCACAAGGGAAGCAGCCTCGCTAACTGGGAACAGCGTTTTAAGAGCAAAGGCACACAAGTTCACGCTCCATGAAGCACTAATAGCTGAGTCGTGTGGTTCAGATGTGGAATTCCTAATTTACAGCCTCTGACCGCCCCAATGTCCCTGACTCAGTTCCGGTAAACTGAGAGGTCACTGTGGGGAGTATGCTGAAGTTTGTGTGTCTTGTTTTTGTGTGTGAGTCCCTGGGAAAAGCAAACCCACCTAAACTAACTTTATTCATCTGCTGTACTTGCAGAAATCTCACGTAAACAGCTCAGCAGGTATAATCCAAGTTACGTAAATTAAAGATTGAGCCTTTTCGAGAAGCTAAAGCATGAATAAAGCTTCTTTCTGGGGGTGGGAAATGTATCTGTTGACAGACACTAACTGAAGGTTATAGTTTACCCCCATGATTTAGCACGACCTCCCCGGTGAGAATGCATTTTGAATGTTTGTGTGTGTCTTGGTTTTGTGCCTGGGTTGTGTCATGGTGGAACAAAGTTCATGCTCCACCAACATACACACAGTATGAGTAATATCACCTCAGGGTCAGGTCATGGTGCATGCATGAACCACACACACACAAACACACACAAACACACACACGCACACAGTGGTATGCCAAGTACCACAATGGCATGACTGAGGTCGTCACTAGAGGACAAACATTCCTGTCTGTTAGGAAATGTAAGGATGATGTAGAGTTATGCGGCTCAGACTTAATTATAATCTGCTATATTTACACTGTCCTAGCAATGTGACGTAACCACTTAAATCTAGAGAACTTTAAGGATGAAAATAATTTTATAATTAGCTATTTACTCTATGGCCTCAGCAAGCAGTTTTAAAGATCACACCAGCTTTTTGTTTATTCTTGACATGTTATTTTTTGTCTCCGTACTCACATGAAACCCCTGTTAGTAACAAAAGCTAAACAATCCAGCCTGCATTTGCTGGCTGACATAAGAAATAAACTATCTCTAAAACAAAAGGCCAGTCTCATGGTTTGTATCTGTAGGTAACCAAACACTGTATAAAAAAGATGGACTCAGTTGTATGGAGGTCACCCATTGGTTTGTGGACTACAGTTTTGAGTTTAACATATGACATGACAACATGGTAGTGACCTGGCAATCACAAGGAAGCCCCATTTTAAAACATGCTCTGCTTTATCATCTGTTTTTCTCTAAATGGGGCCATATTTTATAAAATGAACATCATGCTGTATAGAAAAGGTCTTGAGACTAGCAAATGAAACTACAAATTAATTAGAAAAATGTTAAGTGAGGTAACAAATCAAAGAAGAAGTAGGGCCATTTTCTCAAAGATTGTAATTAGAGGAGTCGCCCCCTGCTGGCCATTAGACAGAATGTAGCTTTAAGGCACCACTGCATTTGGCTTCACTTTTAAATGATGAAAAGTGGTTTCTATACCACTATGGAGGGGAAAAAAGAAAATATATACAGCAAATAAAACCATACAACTTTAGTGAATTAGCATCATATGATATGAATCTCATTTTCACTCAGCTTCTTTCAATGCCAGCAGATATGCAAGGAATTTGTTAAAAGAAATCCAACCAAAGTGACTTTTTGTTACCTACTAGTGTTTACTTTCTATATAAGGTCCCACAAATCTATTAAATATTATTCAGCTATCATACAGTAGTTGTAGCTGCTGATACACACTGAGCTTATTTCATTAATTCCACACAAACAGCTCACTGTGCTAATAAAAACATGACACAGAAGTATTACCATGAAAGACTGTTAAGACCTCAGGCAATTACGCTGACATGTGTTGATGTAATGTATATCCAAGCAGTGATAAAGACATTTTTCATAGCAGCATGGTCACCGAATGCATGCAGGCATGAGACCGGCAGCCACGGCGGTGCAGAAAACAACTTCAGCAACTGGTTATTAGGCAATCTAAACAGTTACTTCATTTCCATATGGAGCCGCTCCACAAACAGCGACACAGTTAAATGCTAACAGATAGAGCGGTTAGCAAATGACAGCCTCGTGTCACACAGAGTCATCATGTGGCACGCTGAGGCTCGGTGAATATGTGCTGAAGTGTGGTTTCACTGAGAAACGGAGAGGCTGAGAACCGGGCGAAGAAGCGAACCCAAGCGTGTGACTGTTTGTGTGTATACACTTTGTGCTGCAGTTGGATGAACACTTTCACTCGAGCGTGACATCGGCCTCGGGGCAAAGTACTGTGACACGTTGTTACTGTCTTTGAAGACTGTCTCATTTATCTAGATCAAGACCTTAAACCATAAACCATCTGCTTGAGAACAGCATCAGATCTGCACATACATGTCAGTAAGGACACTTAAAAGTAGTGCAGAAATGTTAATATCATTATGAGTCAGCATTATTGAATTCATGGGAATAAAAAAATTCCTTCTTCTTCTGCCTCTTTTTTGAAAGTGGATGCACACATATCTGCCTTCACACACTGTATATTTTTTAGTTATTAGTCAGAGATCAGGCTCATATTAGACACCAAATTGTGGATTTAGGAGCTGACTCAGCTTAAATACTCATGACACAGCAGTTATGCTTCATCTAGACACCTACCATAAAACTCTAAGCTGGTTGCCTAAACGTCTCTTGGCTTGCAAATCACCAAATCAGCACTTACTGCTTGATTATTTCTAAGCTTTTTTAGGAGAACGTGCCACTTGCAAATGTTCTCATGCATGAATCCCGCAGAGACTCTTGCTGCTGGGCGGGAGCGCTGAGTCGCACGTCTCAGCAACAGACAGAATAATTCCTGGCACCGTGTCAGACGCCTTTGTTTACTTGCTGGACCTGCGATAGGAACCGCGGTTACGACCTTGGTGACGCTTTGGAAAGCCAGCACATAGCCTGGGGCGTGAGGTTCCGACTGGTGCGCGTTAATCACACTCAAACAAAGAGG